TGAACTTACTGAACATGTGCAAAAATAACTGCAGTGTCATGCACCAAAGCTGAATCTCGCTGCATTGCACTCACAGAACATAGCATCAATTTCTGCTGGAGAAGCATATAGTAAAAATATATGGCCCCGAGCAAAAAAATACAATTTTTAACTTGGGTTCAGTAACACAATGGACTTCTTTTTAATCACCGAGAAATGCCTTAACTTCCAAAATCTGCTTTTATACTGGTGGTCATTTAATAGTTATTTGCACTGCTAGTTGGACATTTTGCATATAATATTTTTATTAATATGTGTTTCAGACAAAAACCCCCTTCATGGATAAAGAGAATGATACTGGTAGCCAGTGTGGGACACCAACACCAATGGGTGTGTTGGAGTAGCATGTAAAGCTCCCTGCCTTGTTACCAAGTATTCAGGATTTACCTGTATTTATTACTTTTTTGTGATGGCTGTGATTCATTCTACAAGTATCATTTTTCAGTAATTTTCGCTTTTTTAAAAAGACAGCAGGAAGCAGACAGACACATATCTAAAACCCAATTACAGCATTAGGTAAAATAATCTCTGTTAATTCTACTCAAACTGTAGTTTTCTTCTTGGAGAATATGAAAATAAGAGTTGTGGGACTACATATGCACTGTGCTTTCCGAGCTAGGCTCATGAAATGGTATGAGAAAGATTTTTACAACCTCGGAAGGCTGGGCTATATAAAGGGATGCTCAGATAAAGGTGTCCTTTTGCCAGCCCCAGCATTAAAAGCCACACTGGCTTCTTGCCTGCTCAGCAGAAGCCAGTTCTCTCCTGTACCTGTTGTGGCTGGGGTCCAGCTCTCCATTCCTCACTCTCCAGTAGCGTGGTAACAGTATGGCAGGTTGAAATTCAGCTCACCACTACATTAATGGTGTATGACAAGCGATGGGTGACTTCCATCTCTGCTTGCAGCACTGTTTCTTCAGGGTTGAGATGAGTATGATTTAGAAATACAGTGCCTCTGTAATACAAGTCCTGAAAAGGAAGGTGTCATTTCTGTACAATATTTTCCAGAGTGGAACTGCACTTGAAATGGTGCATTTTCTAACTGTTGAAAAAATCATTGTGGGTCTGGGGTGGACATCTGCTCCATTTCCTTCCAGGTTGTGCTCCTGTAGGAATGGCACTGCGGAGTTGTCTCTGGTCAGCAAATGCTACTTTCTACTATGGTAGAAAATTGGACAAACTCAACATGAAAAATGAAGGTACCTTCCTAGTTCAATCTCCCTTCTACAGCACATGGCTGAAGTGGAAGAGATGTTCTCGCTTCCTTGCTGGTTGTGTGACTATCTGAGCATACTGAGCTTCCTGATAGCTAGTAAATCCATCAGCAAAATGACGGTAATGTAATCGTGATTCCACCACAGAATGTGATTTTTCAAATCCAATTTAAACCTCAACATGGCAGAGATACTATTTATTATCCTGAAATGAGGATGATTCAAAAAGATCATAATTTCATATTATTCCATTCCATGGATTCCATTAAATACGTCTTTACGTACCTATTCAAAACCTGCAGTGCAAACAGAAATCATATTTCACATGTATATCACAGACAGTATCACAGTACCGTGGATTTAGCAACAGTTCATCGGTCCTGTGCCATACTGGGTCTATGTCTTACAACAGACTTAGCGATAACGTGTAATTAATTGCACAATAGTAGTGGGGAGGGGGAGGTTTTTAATGTACCTATTTCTAAAATAAGGCGTCAGTAGACCATTTTCAGTACAAACAGTTAAATTTCAGTGATATTTTCCTTTTTAAAAAGAGCTAGGGCAAGAGCAAAGTTGTGCCTGCATGCATGCACTGTGGTTTGCAGACGCATTGCCAAGTTCCTCCGCCTGATGTCGCATAGAAGCTCTCTTTGGAGCAGAAAGCCCTCAGCGAGGTTTGTGGATCAATAGTACTGATAACAGCATTATTCCAGTTCAGCACTATTTTGACAGCAGAAATTAATGTTTCTCTTCTTACAGTCAGGCCTATATTCTCATTTCAGTGCACAAGGGTTTACGAATCTAATCTAAAACCTGCTGAAGTGAAAAGAAATGTTTTTTCCTTTTAATGCAATGTACTTCAGATCAGTCCAAATATTTATTAACAATATTTACAGCGTTAGGCATCAGCTTTTGTACTCTCAGGATGAAAATAACGCCCAAATTACTGGTGAACTCTTTTACAGTTCTTTCTTTGTGTAACTCTTAAAATGTATTTCTATGTAGTTCTAAGCATGGAATGATGATCAGACTGTGTACAGATACCACACAACCCTGTCAGCATTTGCAAAAAGTCTTAGTTACTATCAGCCAAGCTAACTAACATCCTTTGCTGAAAAATAAGTCACGCTGTTTTTAAGGTATCTCTAAATGATAAACTCATCAAGTGCAAGAAAAACACAGTGAATGGGAGTTTTTTGGTTTTCTCTTCTAGTGTATTGTTACAAACTACAATGGCCAGAAAAAAGTGGATGCAACAAGCGTCAAAATCTCAATTCATCTGAATGCAAAGTCATAAGGACTGCAGCGTACATTCAAGCATCCGTGGACAGCTACCTTCTGGAAAGTGAATTCCTGGACTTGGTGCCACTTTGTGCCCATCAGGCAAGGAAAAGATCATAGCAGATGTACCTTTAGGCTTTCCAAGGGCAGGAGAGTTTGCGTCATGTATTATAAGTCCTAGCAGCTTAATTGTGGCTTTCAGGATCTGCTTTCCTCACTAATATTAATTTTTTCCTTATACTGAATCTTAATTCTTGTATATTATTTTTTGTTTAGTGTGCACTTTGTTCCTTCTCTCTGAACAAGATATTCTCTCTAGGCATTTCTTCATCTGGCATAGCTTAATATAGGCCAGATTTAGACATTCAAATCAGTACTGTTTAGGCTCTTTGAGTGACAATTCCCATTTCAAATAATGTATTCATCTTTCAAACAGTAAATACACTTTTTGATACTGCCCAATCTAAAAGCTGAATCTTATACAAAAATTAGCAAGAAAACAGAGTAAGATAGTTTTTCAAATTGAACCAAATATTTCTAAGAATGAGGTGCCTCCAATAAAAACATTTTGTCAAGCTCAAAAGTTGCAGTAGTACCTGAGTAATAATGCGTGGCAATAGATGAGGCCTTCGCTTTTCATGTTAAAACCACTATTTACTAATACACAGCTACCTTCGACAAGGCAATTGCTTCTTGCCTTCATTGAAAAAGCCACCCAAATAATTTCATGTCATTTTGCTCTCCTTCTCACTGGCTGTCCCCTTAGCAATACATCATGATGCTGTCCATGAAGAAATCCCACACTTGGGACAGCAGCAACCAGGGCGAGGCGAACGCAGGTAAAATCACCCCAAAGCTGGGATTTTTCAGGTTTAGTTCAAAGCATCAGGTTAAGCTCTGGAGGTAACCAAACCTCTGGTGAGCTCACTGGCTGCAGGAGCCTGAGGATCACACCCTGCCAATACCACTGACCTGCATCTTAGTTTATCATCATCTGCTCAGTGTGAGTTTCCAGCCTGCCTTCTGCCTCCTCCTCCTCAGCCTTCATGATAATGCTACCCTCAATACCATTTCTGTCTTTCTTTCTTTTTTTTTCCTGGACTTTTTTCTGCCCATCCTGCACACTTCTACAAAACGTTCGCTTGAGCCAACGGGGAACTACCTAGCTTTTTCATTCCCCTCTCTCCCCAGCAGGGACTCAGAACTGGCACTCTTTAATTGACATGCCAAAAAGAGCTCTGGCTTAAAATAAATGGTCACAGGATCTTGTTTATTTTGCCTCAACCATCCCTCCTGAGCCTGCTGTGACAGTGTGGAGTGTTGCTCCTCTGGGATACCAAGCATACAGCAGGCTAAAGCAGCAAGCACATGCCTTAGTGGTGTTAAATCATAAATAAAACAGCAGCAGCAGGCACCTCCTCTGAGCATAAAAAGCAGAAGCCTCCCTGTAACTCATTTAAGTTGTCTCTTCGGAAGCAAAACCTCTCTGTTAGACTCCTGAAATCTGCTTTACTTTGGGGAGTACAGCTCTTCAGCTGAGCTCAGAAATTAGTCTGGCAGTGTAGTCCCCTGCGGCAGAAATCTCCAGAGCAGGCAGAGCATGAAAAGCATTGCTCACCTGCCTTAAGATGGATTTCCCCCCCACATTCACTGGAGTTTGGCACCACTGGCACTTGTGCATTCAGCCCTTGGGGCAGGCGAGAAGACAGCCATGCCGCCGATGTGTGAAGTGATTGGAAAAACGGCTTGAAAAAGCCAAGGGGGATAATCAGCATCCTACTCCTCTGCTGGCACCAGCCATTTTTAGGCTGCCTGCGTTGAGGGCCCTGAAACACTGTGCCTTGCTGGTGTGATGCTGGTGCTAGTGTAGATAACAGGAGGGAGCAAGGCAGATGCAGGAAAACGTCCACAAGTCTGAAATTAGGAGCATCAAACTGGTAAGTGCAAAGGTAAAAAGCAGTGATGGAAAAGGGGTGATCCACAAGAAAGGCGCTGGCAATCTGACTTTTCTCTAAGGTCCCAGGTGGCAACATTCCCTTCACCATTAAAACCACCTAGCCAACAAATTGAGGATGAAAAACATCGGGAACACTTTTGCCACTGCTGTCAAGGTTCCTCATACATGTGTTTCATGAGTACCTATTTACAGGTACAGATATTTACTGACACAGTCAGGTAGCTGTCTGTTAGTCTGCTGTGAGCAGGGTGTGTAGGTGTTGCATACTCAAACTTTACATGACTGATATGAAGACTAGTCTCGGACTCACTCATTTTGGAAAAGTGCAGATTTCTAAGTTCCCTAGTTTTCTTGATTTGTGCATTTAGGGAGCAGAGTTGGCAAACAATAACACAAGATCTATTAACCCACAGAATGGTTCAGCTGTTGAAATTTTTGCATGTTTTTCAGACATATCATCTTGGATTTGCACTGTCCTGGCAAATGATGAAATGATGGCTTTCATGTATTGCAGTGAGAAATGCATTTATTTTATACACAGGCTTATCATCAACTTTGAAAAGACAGCTAGCACTGTCATTATTTTCACAGGAAAAGCAGATTTCCCCCCTCTTAATGTTCATATCTAACAAAACTTTTTTTCCCCTCAAAAGTATGGCTGTGTATATCACTAGGTGCACGCTCTGTCTGAAGGAGTCAATTTTCTCTCCAGGTTCAGGGTGATTATGTGGCTGAGCACTAACTACAATTACTGATGCTGTGGGGGAGAGCTGTGTGCATGGCATTCATCGGTGAAGACTAGACATCCCTCCCTGACTCCCCCCTTCCCCTCCCTGTCCCCTGACGCTGTAATTGTCAATTTTCCTGAGAGTGTGAAGCAGGGGATTAGCTGTGCTTCACGAACTCCGGCAGCTCTATGCCCGTGCGCAGGGTAAGCGCTCCAGCCTTCTCCAGGGCAAAGGCTGGGTAGGCAGCATCAGTGAATTTGTGCCTGATGGTGAACAGCACCAGTCCTCTCTCTGCATTGAAGAACAACAGTCTGCCACCACTGTAATCCAAGAGGATGCCGATCCTGGCTGGCTGTTCCGTCACGCAGACATCGCTCATCACACCAGTGTGAAGAAATCTGTAAAGAAAGCTATGGGAAAATGGAAACCAGAATACAGTGAGCCTCCTTATGGCGATTTACCAGAAATAACCTACCACTTAATTCCCACCTATTAAGAGGTGGTCACATACAGCAGCGTATCACATGGCAACAGCATTTTGCTCAGTACATAAGCAAAGCGAATGTGGCATCGCTTCAAAGCCCTGCCTGGCATGCTAATCAGCCCTTTCACTTGACATCTTTGGACTCTCAGGATAAAAGCAGCCTTGCTGTAATAATCTTCATCTATATCTTTCTTATTACATGTCTTTGTGGCGTTTTAAGCACAAGCACTGCTTTGGCAAAACCCTTTGCTTCTCTGATGTTTCATTTAGGTAGTTAAGTTCATGCGTCTGAATGATTTCACACTCAAGAAGCACACTTCTTTGGATCAAGAGCACCTTTACACCATTAACACGGTTATGCCTTACAAACTTCCATGCAGCCTGGCACTGGCCCACTGAAGACTACCGCAGTGTCCGGCAGTCCTGCCACAGTGGCAGGTGGGTGCCTGTCACTGTGGAGGACAAGGCAGGAGAAGGTGTTCCCTATGGAGGCTTGACATCTCCTGCTGACGGATATAGATTCTAAAAAGACTGCATTTATGGAAATAAATACACTTGCTGGGATTTAGTGAAGCAGTTGAGGATATAAGCTGGGAATGACAAACCAGTGGCAAATGAGTTTTTTAAGTTTTATTCTCTGGCTGGGTGAAGGGCAGCAAATCGGTCTGTTTGAGATTAATCTTATTTTTTAAGGTACTTAATAAGATTTTTTAATTAAGAGGAGGTCTAAAGTTCCTTTGTAGTTGTCCTTTTCTTATTACTCAAATTTTCAGAAAGAAAGCAGACACATCCTTTCTGCTTTCATGATTCTTGAAGCTGGCCAGCTTCATTTACATGAAGGACAAGTAACTTCCCAAGCAGCTAGACTGACTCAGCTTTACCTGGTTTGTGTAGGACAGCACCGCATGCACCAGGAGGTATCACTCATCCCCAGGGCACTGCTCCGTGATGTTGCCTCATAGCAAATCCCAATCCTGTAGCTTCTGCAGGCAGAAACAACGGTTTCCCAGTAATGATGTCCCCGAGCGGGCAGCAGTTCACCCAGGACTGAAGGTAACCTGTTTGTGGAAGAGGTGTACAATAAAATGAGTGTGGTGGTAGAGCAAGCATATTGTGATATTTCTTATAGTCGTGTCATACAGTTGCATCTAAAATTACTAATGGATTGCACTCTGTTCTTCTAACTGCAGGGTTTTATCAAAGATTTGCATGTCGTCACTGAGAGTAATTTCATCTTTGCACTGAGATGGACTCATCTTGAGGACTGAAAACTATGCAACTTTACCCAAAATTATATGAAGCTAACAAAAGGTGGAAGAGGTGTCCTTGGAGGCAAAAAAGACCTCAAATTTAGCAGCTTTTTCAAATTAGAAAGCATGGCTGTTCTAAATAGACACAGTGACAAACATCTTGTGTGCATTCAGCTGTAACAGTAAAAAAAGTGCTTAAACCAGTAATACCTCATTATCTTTTAAGAACTCATATCAGTATGGCACAACTTATACAAGTGGACCTGTGCTTGTGATGGAACTGATATCAGTATCTCATAAAAATCATGTTTACAGTGGATGGAGCTAGCCTGGTACAACCGTTCTAACATATCCCAGGAGCGCTTCCTAGTTCTTCAAAGCCACGGATGTTTTGGAAAATGTTACCAATAATGCCCTCAGAGGCACACCCAGCAGTCCCAGTAGGTACCACTGCCTTTGACTTTCTGGAGGTTCCTCAGTGTGACACTGAACTCTTCCCAGCACCTACATCAATGCTGCTACTGGCTTTATTGAGATATTGCAGTGTTTGAAAGGGGGGTCAATCACTCAACGTCCAGGGGCTACGTGACCGAAATGATTCTGTTCTTCTACAAAATTAGTTAGTGCCATGTGAAAGCTACCTATAGGCAAAAATAAGAGTGAGGGACCCATCCTGAACCCTGCAGGGTGGTCATGTTCGTCATGCTGCTACTCACCCAGTGAATTTGGCTTTCTCAGGAAGGCAGATCACTGTTGCATTGGAGGAGATTTGCAAAGCAGGATGGGCTGTGTCGCTCAGCAGGCAAAATCGCGTTCCTGGTACAATTCACGACAAAGAAACACCAGTTCTGAGAGGCTGGCAATGTTAACATGAGCTGAATCATAAAATGTCAAGCAACAATTACTACTGTCTCAGCTGGGCAGAGTTGTGCCTGCTGGCAGGTAGGAGCAGCAGAAAATTGGGTGCAAATGCAAGGACTCTCCCAGGCTGTGCCCAATTGAGACAGCAGTCTATTATTCAGAAATGTAGCTAAGTGATAAAGAAGTCTTCAGCATTCAAGAAGATTCCAAATTTTCAACCAGTTTCTTTTTCAAAATAGCAAATTTTAATTTTGAGGCTGGTTTGGAAGAACCATATATGATTTAACACTACTTATCCGGAAACCTTAAAGTTTAAATCATCCATTACATTTTAAAGCTGCTCTGCATGCTTCCTCATCCCTGAAACCCAAAGTCCACAAGGTTTTAATTGCAGGGTTTTTTAAAGATCATGGCATCTTTTATAAGAATGTGCTCTGCCAAACTGAAGCAAACTGAGGTCCCTGAAGAATATTTAACTTTTCCAACCTTAACGATTCTATGATTCTAAGCAGCAGCTGGCAAAAGCAATAATAATACAGTAAAGTCCTAATGCAGAAAATACTACTCTAAAATTGTCGTGGTTTAACCCCAGCCAGCAACTAAGCACCACACAGATGCTCGCTCCCTTCCCCCACCCCGGTGGGATGGGGGAGAGAATTGAACGGGTGAAAGTCAGAAAACTCGTGGGTTGAGATAAGAACAGTTTAATAATTGAAGTAAAATGAAATAGAATAGTAGTAATAATAATAATAATGTAATAATACAATAATAATATACAAATCAAGTGATACATAATACAGTTGCTCACCACCTGCCAACTGATGCCCAGCATGTCCCCGAGCAGCGATTGCTGCCCCCTGGTCAACTCCCTCCAGCTTATATACTGAGCATGATGTCATATGGTATGGATTAGCCCTTTGGCTAGTCTGGGTCAGCTGTCCTGGCTTTCCCCCTCTCCCATCTTCTTGTGCACCTGGCAGAGCATGGGAAGCTGAAAAGTCCTTGACTAGTGTAAGCACTACTTAGCAACAACTAAAACATCAGTGTGTTATCAACATTATTCTCATGCTAAATCCAAAACGCAGGACTATACCAGCTACTAAGAAGAAAATTAACTCTACCTCAACTGAAACCAAGACAGCTGCTTTGCCCCCCCATCCCATTGTTTTGACATCAGAAAATGGTGATCTACCTTTAGTTGAGATGAGAGCTGCTTCACTTTGTTCACTTGTCCCAAATGGGTTGACAGCCCTCAAGTAGAAGAAATAGTTCACATTGGGTTCCAGGGATACTTTCAGTTCAGGTCTCTTTATACCGGCAAAAGATCTGCAAATTTTGAAGATTTTCATACATGAAAATATATGCAGATATCCAAACCAGGACAGAATAATTTATGCAAATGGCTAAGCGACCTAACAGTACTGTTCACTACTGAAACAACAGGCACCGTAGAGAAACTCCAAATTGGAAAAGCAAATACTGTTTTCACAAACAACTGGGTTATGCAAGAGCTTAGACATTTTACTTGAGGTACCCTCCTTACTTCATCTGACAAATTTTCAGGCCTTTGTTCCTGTACCACCTTCTCACTCAGTGCAGTCATTTGGTGTAATGCTCACTTCACGTTCATTTTGCAGCACAAGTCATCACATAAAATGCAAGCAGCACAGAATCAAATTCTCATCTGCCTCCTGTAAAAAGGCTACACTACAAAATGAACAAGCTTCTGAAGAAAAAACTCCTTGTAATTAATTCAGTTGCATGACAGTGAATGTGCTTGTTGTGTTTGTACTGATGCAAAAGAATGGGTATCCTCATCTGAGACCACACAGAAACCGTGCACTTCTTATTATGATCTCCTTGCTTACAAATTGTTCATCAACAAAGTCTTGGCTCTGTCCCCCTCACAGTGCTATGCACTCTAACAGGCTGGTTTTGCAAGAGGCAGCAGCAGGGGAACTGCCTTTGTACAGTGCCCTGCTTTCACTAAGTCTCCCCTTTGCGGTGCCTCAAAAGCTCCAGCCCTCACATCCTCCACCGCTGATGTCTTGACACACTGCAGGAAAGCGAGAGTCAGCACCCACTCAATCTGCTTCACAGGCGCTTTGAAATGCCAGGGAAAGTACTTTGGATGGATAGAAAGATGCCGATTTTATTTTCTATATTGTCAGGAGTATGAAAGATTGGTTTAACAAATTCTCATACACTGAATCCTGATTTTCCTCATTTTTGCCTTGTATGATAATGGCAAAGCCAGACAGTATATACCCACCACATTTTACACCTGCAAGTAAAGACTGTTTATCTGTATAAATTAGATTGTTTCCTCCCAGAAATCCTTATAGGAATCTTCAAGGTAAGTACTTAAAATTTCAAGTGTAATGCAGGTCTTTTGACATAACTCCCTGTCCTCTGTGCTGAAAGACAATAACCTTGGTAGTGTGAAGAAGGGCTAAACGCAGGAGTCTTGCTCTGCTCTCCAGTAAATTCATGAACAGGAGACATGCCTTTGGAGAGCATGCAAGGCACCTTCCCTTCCACCTCAGCTTTGAGAGTAGAGCCCAGGATGGTCTCCCTCCTCCAGGTAATGTCTCCATGGGGAGCTAGATTAAACGAATTATTTTTTCCAGTACTAATTACTGTGACCCCAGAGGTAAGGGAGGCAAGTCAGCAGTCAGATCAGATCATTGCTATTCATTTGTAGTGACTGTTTTTCTGCATATGTCCCACCAGAGAGCAGTGTAATCTGAAGAATAGTCAGCGCTCATCCATCAGGATTTTTCACACGCCTGTCCCTGCTGCATTTATCACATAAAGGTAAAATCCTGCAGCCCTAAACACACCAAATTTCTTCAAACACCACATAGAGCTCTGCATCTAGGAGGATGGCATCCTGGGGAAAGATTGGTGCATCACACTTACTAGTTTGTAACAGGTATTTTGTACTGACAGCTGTCATTAGAAGTGATTGAAAGCATTGAGAAAAAGCACTGGGTGCTCCTGTGGTTTTTTTTGTTTGGTTTTTTTTTTTTTTAATTTGAAAGAATTTCAGAGAGTTTGGGGCTGTTGCATGATCAGTGAGGGGCCATGCCACCTTTGAGGAATGTGTTATTACTAATGCTGGAACTGATGCAGTAAACAGAAGTGGGTTGCCCAAACGTGGTAACAAGCAACCCGATGTGATGCGTGATGTGAACATGAGATCTTTAGACTTGAAAGAGGAAAAAGGCTCATATCAGGACAGGGGACAAGAGAAAAAGGAAAGATGAGTCAGAGAAAAATACAAGACGGGAACTGAGCAAGGAGGCAAATATAAAAGAAGTGAGAGAAAGGAAAAAGAGGATGGAAGCTGAGGTATGGGAAAAGAAGTGGGCACCTAAGCTTTGAAGCAATTTGTCCATGCTTCCTAGACAAGTCTCACCCGATCTGTTCCTTAGAAGCACCATCCTGATATGTTTGGTGTGAATCTGAAGCACAGACCACTAGAAAGAAGTTTTGAGCCAACAGTTACAAGAGAGATGAAGGGAGGCTATGCTAAGCTATTCATCAGAAGCTGTTTGTGGCAACACGTAGATCAACGTGTCTTAAGCACAGTGATGCCCTCTATATGGCTCTTTCTTTTGTCTTCTGGAAAATGCCATGTAAGTCAGTGTCCTTCCAAAGAAATTAGGAGATCTTCTTTTTCACTATGTGCTATTTAACTGATGGCTAGTTAATAAAACACAAAATTGTTTCTAAATCCAAGTAGACAGGTACATTCTGGTATGATTAGACCTGGGGTATTAATGTTCTGGAGTCTGGGTCCCAGAGGCTGGGTATTCAGAAAAGAGTTTGGGTCCAGCCAAGTGCACAATAGGGGCAGTCATCAAAGTTCAGACTTGTGTCTCTTTCAAATCTGAAATTCTCCAAGTCAGAATTCGGTTGCATGTTTAAATCTGAGAGCAACAGCATGCCTCCTTTCAGTTGTAATAGTGAGACAGAAATGTCTGGACTTTAAGCAGATCTGGTCAGTAAAACAGTGATGAGATTTTCGGATAGCATTCTCTGCTTGATAATCTATTTTAGCCAACTTTAAGCTGCCTAAGAATAAGAACCCATCAATTTTAGCTACGATTAAAGCTTAAAAAACAGTCCCGCTGCTGCCAGCTAATGAAACAGAGTATGCCAACAAGAAGGAATTTCATTTGCGACACTCTGAGCCAGCTCCAAGCTCACAAGAGGCTGTGTGCAAAGAAGAACAGATCTTGCTATCACCTCTCTTTCTGTTCAGGGGATAGGGTGAAGGGGGAAAGTGAATACTGAGGGCTCCCCAGCAATCACTGTAGCTTGGCATGCTTCAGGTTGACCCTGCAGTGACAAAAAAGCAAGGATGAGGAGAAGGTACGATTACTGCTTAGCTTACAGCATACAGGTTATACACAGGAGAAGGGAAGGGAAAATGCATCCTGACTGTGTTGGGGGAAAGCCTGTTTCTTTTCCAAGTTCTCGTAACAACCATTGCAGCTAGATCTTTCTCAAGCTCACCTAAAGTATTGAACCATGTAATTTTGGTCATGAAAGAAAGAGAAATCCACCTACAACATTTTTTATGTCAACTATTTTCTACTTTAAATACCCCTGCCCACTTTACAGATGATTGGAAATGTGATGATGTTATTACCAAAGCATGAAGCATCCTAGCCTTTAGCCTAAATGTTATCATATTTGCACTGTCCCCACAATGTCTTGGTGTCATGATACATAATTCAGTGCATAGAAATTAAAGAAATATTTGACATTAAATATTTTAAGTACCTCTTCTTAATCCCTCTCTTTATAAGAGGAATCTTTAAGTCTCAAAATCGAGTCTCCAAATTTCAGGTACATGCTATACAAAGCAGAACAGAAAGGAGTTACATGTTTCTTCACCTTTAAATTGCCAAGGAATATTATAGTAGCAGTTGTCTGTTAAAGTTGTCATTTTCCTAGGTTTAGGGAAATCTGATGCTGTGTTTTGATGCATGTTTCTCTCATCAGCATCCTCATTTATTTCAAGGAAACAACATCTAGAGGGTATTTTTTAATATTGCATGAACCCAGCAAATGATACGCCTCACAGTGATTCAGAACGCCCTCTGTGCTGTAATTATCATCTCCACCCCCAAGATTCCACTGAAACAGCACCTCCAGACCTGTGCTGGTACCACCTATGTGGAGTTAAAGCTGAAAGCATGCAAGCTTCTCAAGATACGTGTAGGAGCACACCATGGGCAGAAAAAAGTTCCTGAAGCTAAAAATAAAAAACAAATAGCTCTGAGTTTGCTCCCAGCTGTGTCACTTCCTTTCCTCTTCTCTGTCCCAGCTCTGGCTGTCTTGGGGTAAGATCACCAAAGCACCACCTGCAATGGTCCTCACTGCTATCTCAGATGGCAAGCCCAGCACAGCCAGAGGGGAGGAAGATTCCCTATTTTCCACACCTTGTTTCCTGAGCTGGCAGGACAGTCATGTAGGCAACATAACAGCAGGGAGGCTTCCTCTCCTTTTTCCAGCATTAGACCTGCTCTATGTGTGGATGGGAAGTTTCGGTCACTAGCAGTGCCGGTCTTGCAGTGGCAGAGCGGATGACGCCCAGTCACTTCTACTTTTATGAACTCACTGCATACTGTACTAATTTCTGCCTCCCTGAGTCTTACAGATTTCTCATGATGTGATACGTGGTTTCCATCCGAACAGCCCACACACCTAATCCCTGGACTACATTTCTCACAGTTTTCCATCTTCCACCCACAGCTCCATTGACTTCTCAACACAAAGAGGTTGAATAGTGAGAAAATAGCAGAGCTCTGGAAAGTGAAAGAAAATTTCAAAGCCTCATACAGATTCTGGAAAGAGAATCAAGCCAGGAAGGAGCTTTAAAACCACAGCAGCAGGCTAGGGACTCACTGTTGCAGAAGATTTAAGATGGTTTTATATGAAACCATGTCCCTCAGGTGGCAAGCTGGCAGGAAGAAAGAACTCAAAGGGGAAAATAAAGATTTTTTTAATGGTATTTAGAAGGAAACTTTTTATGAGGATTTATTTCCAGACATTCTTCAAATTCTCTCCCTGAGGAGCTGGGACTGCTCCAGGGCTGCTCCAAGGACCTCCTTGGAGATATTCAAAAGCCACCTGAGCATTTGGCTCTAGATGACCCTGCTTGAGCAGGGGAGGTGGACAAGATGACTTCCAGAGGACCCTTCCAACCTCAACCATCCTGTGATTTTGTGACCTGATGAAGGATATAGGGGTCAACCCAGACCAGGGGCTCCACATACATCTACGGCTGTTTGGTGGGGGCATTTCTCCCTGCCTGCTCCCTTGGTAGTGTCCCTTGACTTGGATGAGCTCCCACAATGACACGTGCAAAAGCAGCCTTGTGGGACGGGACCATGTCGCTTTCTCCAGGACTTACCTTGGATGTCCTTCCCCCACCTTTGCTTTCCTGCTGTGCCCCCAGGCACCTAGGTGTGCATAAAGACACAGTTTTATTCTACCTGATACAGGTACCTGACATAGGAACTCTAAGCTCCCTAAGGTACTTCCAGAAGGCAGCTTCTCACTATATCAGCCACATAAGGAATTGATTTCTAGTCCTAACTAGCATCTTGGGGGCCTTGGATGGGCGCAATACAGGCAGTATTCTCCCTCTACCAGTGGGATCTTCTTTCTTTGGCTTTATGCAAAAAATTAAAGAGAAATCTTAAAAAAAAAAACCCTCCATCACTAAAACATCATCGCCATTATGGAAGCTTTCGAGGTTAATCTCGAGTGGCTGCTTTTGGAAAAGGAAAGAGGGGCATTGCTTTGAGGGAAAATAAGTGGTAAAAGAGGGTCTTTGACACTGTAAAAAGAGGCCAGAGCCCTTCTACAAATACAGAAATTTAAACTACAGCAATTCTGAGAAAATTCATGATTTTGTCCTGTGGGAATTTTTCATACTTGCCACAGTAAGAGGCCAGCTTCCGCCCACATGGGGCCAAAAAGTCAAATGTGACTCAGAATAATGATAAACATGCTAGATTTTGCATGAGCTCACTTGAGAAAAGGAATGGGTCAGTTCTGGCAGTTTTTTTGGCACAGTTATCACCACACAAGCAAACTGCTTGGTGTTATTGACACCTCGCTTACAGATTACAGAAACTGTCACACTTTCTAGTTCAGTTTTGAGAAAAAGAGGCAATTCCAGTTAACGGCAAAGAAACTCGAGGGTAAACACGCAGCACAGGTTTTGGAAGCAGCTACATTATCCCTGACCAACAGCGACTTTGGCAGGTTGACAGGGACCTGACAGCCTCATGAAATATGTATGAAACAGAGCAGCTCATGGCTGCCCCCTGAGAGGCAGGAGAGCTGGGCCAGACCTCTCCTTGGTTGCATTAACACAGCACGCCGGTACTGTGTGGAAAAAAAGATCTCCCAACCCCGCAGAAGTTTTTTATTTCAGTTTTTAGCCTACTTTTGTAAGGAGCAAGGTGCGCACAATTTCACTGTCGTACTTGTCTACTAGAAACCTGTGAACACTTCAGTCCACTTAACTAATTTTGACTGCAAGGGGTGGAGCTCTTCCCTCTCTGCCACACCTCCATGAAGTCTGTGTGAACTAGCGCCCAGGTGAAGACCCTAATCAGCCTCCCTGGGAGGTGAAGACAAACTCAGCTGGGCTGAGGCTCTTCCACAGGGTTCCGTATGGCAAGTCACCCCCCACCTCCCAAAGCTTCTCAGACCTCTGCAACTGTCTTTTGCTGGAATATTGTTGTCATTGTTTTTAAAAAAGAAGCAAACAAAAACCCCCAAGCTCCAAGGACATACAGAGCACCATATAATTTTCTCTGCTTTTCAACACAAGGTTTCACAGTTCAGTGGTGCCTACGTCCCTCCCCACCCTCTCCTCTACCCAGCACAGACTTAGTGCAGGGGAAACCAGAGAGGGTCTGGCACAAGCAGACACCAGGCCCAATTTCAAAGCTGCTCTTCAGGTTGCTGTTTGACCCCTGTGGCATGCCTGCGGAGCCGGGCAGAGCTGGGCTCAGATGCGCTTTGGGAGGGATCCGCCCACACACCCAGACAGTGCAGATGGATCACCAACATTACCGGGACACACGTATCACCCTTGCCATGTCTGAAGCTGGTTCCTATCTTGCTCACCACAAAGCAGAGAGGCAACTGGGCCAGGCTCCACCACCCCACTCCTTCCTGTGGAGCTCATCTGCCCTCCCGTGCCCTGCCTGGGGCCATGGCAGCTGCGGGGCAGCAATTGCTTCCCTGGCCAGCACAGCCCTGCAACTTCTGGTTGATTGCAGACAGTGCAACATCTCCTGTGTTTTGGCCCCAAATGAAAGGGATTGCCCAGTTAAGCAGAATAAAAAGGAAGTATTTTTATGTCTCAGCCTAATCTCATAGATTAGTGTTCGTCCTGTAAGTTCCTCAGCACGCAGAAGCAGATTTCTTCCTTGTGTGGTTGAAGGCAGAATAATCGCTTGCGTAATGACACACAGTCTGGGGGACGCTCATTAGCGGCTACCTAATCCGACCAAGTGGCGCTTGTGACCATGGCACTGACCTGAGACCCTCTCCTTCTGGCGAGTGCTGTCGGCAGTACTCCAGGGTGAAGGACTCCGCCAACGCTGAGCAGGCACGCCAGCGGATGGTGGCCGTGTCCCAACACACTGTGCAGTCCTCGGCCTTGATGGTGGGGACAGCGGGTGCTGGGAACAGAGGGACACATTAGCTGTACCACAAGGAGGGCGCCAGCAGCTGGTGGGGGATTCTCGCAAGGGAAAGGAAGAGTTACCTCCCCAAAACCCCACAGGATATTTAGTTTTGCCCATCCAGCAATGATCTTTTGCTTGTTTGTGTTTCAATGGCAGAGGACTACATTATGGGGGAAAAAAAATCCACGCTGGGAAAGCCACTGTGAATATTTGCGCATTTCTGCACATTCTTAGAATGCCCGTACAGATTTTTATGCCTTTCCTCAAGCACATTTTCCTCGTTTCTGCCAATCTTCAAGGAGCAGAGCACCAAGGCAATACTGCCTACAGCTCTTCCCACCTCCCCTCAATCCTGTCCTCAGCAGTCCCTGCATGAACTGCATCAGAAACAAATGTGCTGCAGAATTGACGGGGAGATGCTGACTTTCTGCTTAATTACGTCCTGTTTATTTTTGCAGTGCTAAAATTTGGTCCTGTAATTGCTGTTTTTTAGAGCCTCGGTTTAAGAACTACAGGCCCAACTACAAGACAGAAAACTGAATGTAAAATAGTGCACTGAATGCAAGTAATCAAAAGCTATTGTGTGAAATTGCACATCCAACATCATAGACTGAAAATGGATCAGTTGTATTCATTTTTTTTTCTTTCCCTTTCCAGGGAATAGCAACATAAACGAACTTTACCACCTTTTGTTGAGACTCATAGAAATAGTCTTAATACCAATCCTTAAAAGAAAGGTTATTAATTAAAATAAAGTCATAGAAAGTTATTTTGCTTTTAAAGAGATTGGATTCCAAACAGGAGGCCTAAGACAAAAGTAGAAATTAGACAATTTTATGACAAGATAATCTCACAGAACTGCAAACAGCATTCCAGATGCATTCTGTTTTGTAATAAAAATAATTTTTATTAGTAGAAAAGGAAAGAAAAACATCCACAAGTACATATTATTTTCCTGGTTTAGTGAAAATCAGGAGGTTAGCAGTTCAGGTTAAGATGTACTTGATGTTTTACTACAGGAACAGCTGATCTGGGTATTCATCAGAAGAAAGAATCTGTGGGATAGATTCTCATCTGGTACTACATCTGCGTAGTTCCCTTAGCAATAATCCCTTAATTCTCTTCTGACATATTTGATTATCATCTCTTTTTAAATGCATCTGTTTCTAAAGAATGAAAAATTAATAGCTAAATCCCCTAACGCCTTCATTCAGCAACTGACACACATACCCACATTTATGTATGTGCAAACAGTATGTCACAAAACATCAAGCATTTTTTTTTAATTTGAAATTATCTGTCTAAAGAGTAGATGGAGTCAGCACATCAGAAAAAATTGTTACTGTGCTTCTGAGTTTTTTTTTAACAAATTAACTGCAGTTAGAATATATCTCTGATTTCCTGGTAATATTCCAGCACTCATATAAGTGATCTTATAAGAGGCAAAGAGCCGAAAAGGGTAAGTTCTTATTCTGTCCCTCAGATACAGGGTGAGAATCACGTAACTTTTGAACAACAGAAGAATGTGCATTCACTCCTATGTCATTAGGATTGCAAAGAGCCTTCATCTGGAGATCATTCTGAGATGGACAGGGAGGAGGGGGGTGGAGGGATAGGAGGGGAGATAGAGGCATACTTGCTGCCTTCAGCGTCATTCCCTCACAGAAAACACTACTTGGAAGCAGCGTGTTCCCCAGGTGAAGGGAGGACAGGCTGTGAGTTTGGGAGGTGGAGGAAGAGGAGATGGGAGGTGCTGGGGGGTGGCTGCAGCAGCACCAGCCTGTGTCCCCCACAACTCCCCAGGCCCACTGCCACCTCCATGGGTGCGCTCCCAACAGGGAAACCTTGTGGGTTTCCAGCAACTGAAGAGGCGCAGCTTTGACCCACTATTAATGGGTATGTTCCCCTAACTGCATATACCAGCAAATTATTTTCTTGTATGTGCCAACTTTTAATCATCTGACTTACTAAAAATAAACTCTCTAAATTCTTGCTTCTGAGTTCATTGGGCTACTTGAAGAATCAAAGTATTCTAACTTTATATAAAAGTAGCTGGGCTCACACTGAAGAACTAGTTTCCATTACTGGTGCCTATCTTTCTGCCTCTGATGTTAAGGTGATGCAGTGGTTTTGCATCCGTCACTGCTCAGCAGTATCGCCACAAGTCCATCTGGGGCTCTGTGCACTCCAGAGGGAGTTCACCTCAGCTTGAGGGAAGGTGTTTATTGAGCCTTTATTTGACCTAGTTTATTTGTTTTCTTAAAGAAACAGGACAAAGGAAGGCATCAAAGAATCGAGGAAATCAACTTCTTCAGAAGGCTTCAGTTTTGGGAAAAAGAATGGTGAGCCTGATGCCAAAAGGCAAAGACAGTTCTTAAAAATAACAGCTTCAGAGAGGCGAGAACCGTCTTTAAAGTTATGATTTATTAGCTAGTAATAACTCATTATTATTTGGCCATTTTGAAGGAATTCTGCACCATGCTCCCAGTTACCTCGCTGAGGCCATAAAATTTGAATTTCTACTTTGAATTCTCTGGAAAATCATCTTTGCTAAAAATATGAATAGCAAATTGAATATCAAGGAGAATTATCAACAAATTTGAAGTCTAGTGGATTAAGGAAAAGGCTTGAAGCTGTGGTTGTTGCTAAGTGATTTCAACAATACATTCAGCGTTGTACAGAGTTATTTGATTACGAAATTGCTAAATACCCTTGTCTGTATTTTGTGACTGCAAGAATGGAATGATTGCTTTTATCCTGTAGCACTAAAAAAATTGTCTGGCAAGAAGGCCTCAGACACAATATGCTTCACCTTGGTCATAATTCAAGAAGCAATAGTTTTGTCAATACAAATTATTAAAGAAATTAAAGCTCAGAAAAATTAATCCGTCAAATGAAGCTCATAAACAATACTCATCTAATTACTCAATTTACAACACTTAAACAGCAGCAGATCCTCTCAGCCACACCTGAGATTTGTATCCCACTGAGCTAGACACAGCATGTAACCTCGGTAAAGCAGGCCTTCCCCTGAAAAGTTAATTATTTAAATCAATGCAGCACAGATGTATTTGGGAGGATGGCAGAGAGGCAAAAAAACACAGCCATTGCCTCATTTTCCACAGGAGAAGCGGCAGCAGCAGGGAGCAGCCGGGTGGCTTTCCCAAAGCTGCCCCAGAGCATTGCAGCGTACGCAGAAGAGAAATGAATCACATGCTGCCCCAACGCCCCAGTCACAAGCCTGGAATCATCTTCAAATCTGAATGCCTTCAAGTTTCCTCCCAGAAGTAATTATGCCGCTATCTCTCAGCAAAAAGGGAAATGACCAGGAGTTGCCGTCTATCTGCCAGATGGGCTAAATGAAGCAGTTGCTTCTCTTTCAGTAACACTATAGACTAGAATTGGTCTAAGGACTTGAAGCTTATAATAATCAAATGCCAAAATAATAATTAAATGCCAAAGTATGTACATACCCGTTTTAAAAATGGCTTTTTCACTGGGTAAGCTACAGCCTGTGCCATTCACAGCCATGACCCACACACTGTAGCAGTGATCCGGTTCCAGGTCCTCCAAAATGCAGTGGCTCTCCTTTACCGTCACTCTGTACTCTTCCACCAAAGCTAGGAGAAACACACACATGCACGGGATGTCACACTCACGTGTTGCACTGGCAGGGCCTACGATTGTACCTCTCGACTAACATGTAAAATCCAGTCAATTAAAAAAATCCAGAAAGAATTACTAGCCAAGATCTCCATATTTTATGCTGACTTAGTTTTGACAGAAAGTTTCTGATGTGCCCTTGAGTTGAATGCACTCAAACCCCATTGATGGCAAGGGGAGATTATGGCCCTCAGTCCTACTGAGGACTAGGCTGGAAATTTGGGACATACAATCCGCAGCTGTCAACCCTGGTTTTACCACTCTATAATGTAACCGTTTCTCATAATGGACTTTATAGCCCTGAGCTATAAATCAGCTATTATAAAAAGCCCTTAGCATCCTTTAGCATGCACACACATGCACCCACATACACATAGGCACATGTGGATTTGTGCAGAGCCCAGTTGCTTAAAGTGACTTTATGATCAGTCTGAGCTTTTTAATGAATGAGCATTTCGATCCTCTTTTCTCAATCTCATATTTAAGATCTGAAATATTTTAATGTAATTTTGAAAAAAAATCTTTGTCTACGTGTGCAAATACTGTGGACATACTGATTATCTTTTCCTGTCATTTTTTCTATTAGGACACATTTCCAAAATACATGCAGGGCCGTAAAAACTTAATGAAGCCTGTCCCTTTGGAAGCTCTATCTGCAGTCCCCATGAGTACCCACAGGCCAGCATGGGCACATTCTCTCTGAAGGTCAGGCTACTTAATTAAAGTGCACCTCAACAAGGATGTTGCTGCTTCTCTGCCAGCAACTGCTCTGCACTTTACAGACAATGATATTTATCTTGCATTTTGAGGGACAAAGGGGAGGAGAAGGAATGGCATATACCTCACACTTTCCTCCACCATTACCCATCCTTAGTCCTACACACGATGTCTTCACAGCCCCTCTTCTTTCTGCATCCTGGGCCCTCCCCTGCGCTTTGGCCTCCCTTCTGGTGACCCCAGACCAGAGCAGAAAGGACTCCTGCCATCATGAAGGCAAGACCTTACGCACCACCTGCATCTTTGCTGGCTTGTGGCTCCTCCATACAGTAGACCTGGAAGCAGTCAATGGCGTCCCCATCGTTCACAGCCCAGTAAACGGCAATGGAGGTGCTGGTGGCCGAATTTGGTTCCTGAGGTACAACAGTCGGTGTCTGTGGGACTGAGAGGAAAGTTTCCCGTTGTTATTCACACTCCTGTATTTTCAGCCAAATTATCTACAGGTTTGTGAGGCAGCCCGGTTGCTTATTTTCACTCTGGTTGCTTATTTCCACAGAACAAGTACAGCAAGTACATGAAATATGGATAATAGTGGTGCAGTTTTAGAGCAATAGGTCATCCTAAACTAGGAACTAGAAAAGTTAATTGCTTGCCGTTGGAATCTGTCCATTTCCCTCACGGTCTGGGCAAAATAAGATCCAGTTCTAGTACTGGGACCACCTGAACCCAGCGCAATGCATGTGCCCACGCCCTGCCCAGCTCTTGGGGTCCATCCCTATGGGGCAGGACCATCACACAGATGAGTCATGGCACAGCTGCTCGTGCTCCCAGGGCTGTGGCAATCCTGGACACGCAGAGCTGTCACACAACTCCAGCGATCCTTCTCCTTTCCCCAGGAGACCTGCTCCTTTCAGTCACAGGGAGAGCTCTCCAGCTCTGTGCTCCACTTTGAGGTATACATGCTGATGAAACCCCAAGAGATTCCTGATAACTTCAGGCCACCTCCTCAGAAAGGCCAGAAGACCCTGAAGCCTAACCCAGGCTCCTTTGGGTGACCGCCTTCTCCATTACTTGACCTTGCACTGCAGCACAGGCACCAGAGGAGAGGACACCCTATGAAGAGGATGCTCATGAAAGTGGAGACGGAAAGCATTTCTTTGTAGCAAACAGCATGGGATAGTTCACTGATAGTGAGAGGGAGCTTGCAGAAGAAGAAAGTTTCCTCCAGAGACATATGTGTGTAGCTGATTCCAGAGAGGTGGGCAGGGGAAAGGACCTGCCACACCAGGAAGGGATTCATGCAGTGTGTCAAATCCACTGAGATTTACAGAAGCACAGATGTGCTTTAGGTAAAGGAAGGCTCAGAGCTCCCGCACTAACAGCCTGGGGAGTGGGAAGCTCCCTGCAGCCTTGGGTCCACCCCTGCCCAAAGGTGAACTCCTACTGAAGGTGCATTACCAGGTGCTCCTGCCTGGCATGGTCATTTTCCCCACAGACCGAGTGGACAGAGGATCCTGCGTGTGCAGGTGAACCCAAGCTCTGCCAAAGCACCTGAACCTCATGGGACAACCAAGAGCATCCTTCACAAAGAGTGCTTCAAAGACCTCCGAGGTTCCCCAAATTTCATATAAACTTTGTCTCCTGATCGGCACAGATCCATCCCTGATGAGATATTGTTCCCCTCTACGATTACGGCTTAAAAGAGAGGGAGGGGAAAGAAAGAAGCAAAAAGCCCCAAAAGATGTTCATTGTTAAAATGATTGCAGGGAACGAAAATACATGGTTCTATTTCTTCATCCAGTAAATTTCCATATTGCATGAATTCTCTTAGAATCTCAGCAGAAAGCTTTTGCTTTTTTTCAGTTATCTTCACAGTAATGATGATGATCCCCTGTGGCATGAAAAAGGCAAATGCAGATGCTGGCTGTTTCCTTATGATTTATACAGAGAGCTAGCAGTACAGTAGGATTACATCTGCTTCCCATTGAAAAAAAAATTATCCTTTGCATTGCTAAAAACAATCTGCATTTTATCTTTTGACTGCATCTAGAGTTGATCAATTTAAAAATTGATCATCTTTAGGAAAAGACTTCCTTTCAGTGGACCCAGTGGGGAAAACAGCTTTTTTTTTCCTGTGAAGTTGCCTAGAAACTGCTATTTATGATCACAGAAACCCCACAACTGCAAGATTTATTATTATGCCAAATCGGAACAGAAGCTAGCTTAATGAATGAAACTTCTGGAAGTTATAGATCAAAGTTCAGTTTGTTAACATTGAGAAACATTTGATTTCTAATTTTCTGTCGCATAATATGAAACAAACTTTTGAAAGGAAGAAATTTCAAAGCAAGAAGTTTAACTGTTCTCTTCAGAAACAGAACATCTATGTGTTATCAAAGTGCTGGCCCATTTTAAAATGAATTTTAGTCAAAGAAATGAGATATTTGTACCACAAGTTTGACTAAATCATATTTTTCAACGGAAAAGTGTGACATTTTCTTATCAGTTCAGTTTTCATTGAAGTGCTATGGTATAAGGAAGATTTTCCTTCATGCTACCTAGTCTCCATGGCCCCCAGGAGAAAAAATAATAATCCCAAATATTTCATGGATATTTACCCCTTTCCATTGTAATGAGAAATAACATTTCTTTGGCTTTTTAGACTTGAAGAAGGAAAGCAGTTACATTCCTCTGTGACTTTAATAGAAGATTGTTACAATCAGCAAAGGTCCTCACCTTCTGGTATAAAAGGGCAGGACTCATGACAGGCTTTGGAAATTCTTCTTCAATTTTTAAATTTTACCCACTCTTCTTGTGGCACAGCCTGGGTTGCAGTATGCTCAATGTCATGCTGCAAGGGTTTTTCATGCTTATGCATTTGTTAATGGGGTGATTTATGTGAAAGGAGGAAGAATTTGATGGAAAAGGCCTTTTCATTAGTGGATATGGAAAATTTGGAAATGGAGGGCGTTTTGAAGGAAAGATGTTTCTGAAGTGGTGAAAATAAAGTTCTGTGAAATTGTTCCATAAAAGACTATACTTTCTGAAGGAAAAATATGTGGATTGGAGAAACATGGCAAATTCACATCTATTTCATTGAATGGCTGCAGTCAAAAAAAAATTCTGAGAGTGTCTGACATTTGCCTCCACTATGTGATAAATGATGTACTCAAGGTGTTCAATTCCAAATAAAGTTTCATGGAGGCATTTACCTCTATTTTAATTCAGGAAGGGTGTAATCTTGAAAACAAAACATATTTTGTCTACTGCTCACCAAAGTAAAAATCACAATAACAACTGAAATACTTGGTAGTGGAAATGAAAAAAGAAAACTGGGTGTTTTAGAAAGAGAAAGAAAAGAAAGTATAAAGAATAAGGAGCTTTGAAGGTTGCTTGCTAGTGGATAGCCATTCATTTCCAGCTTGTCAAAGCAAGCTGGTCGGGAGTCATTTGGTGTTCAGCAAATACAGTACTTAATGCAAATCAAACCGAAAAGCAGATCTCAGTGGTTTGAGGAAAAACATGTTGGAGTGACTTGTGGGAAAAGGAAATACAGCATGACAAAATGGCTCTGTCCTCCTGGATGACCTTGCCAGTAGGTAGCAGCCCAGGAGGAAAGAATGGTTGCACCTGTGGGACTGCAAGAGGGAGTTTAGGAACTGAACCAAGACACATAGCACATTTACACCACTAAGTTAACTCTGTCTGAGAGTGGGTTACAAAAAAGATCTTTTTATCTGACTTCCTAAAGAAATGAGGCTGAGATAACGCTGCATGCACAAGTGCCTGTCCAACTTCACCTGTGAAGCTTTGAATGCCACAGGCAAATTCATACAAATCATAGCAGATTAGACATGTAAAGTGACAAGCTCTCAAACACTTGTGTGATGTAATTTCATAGAATGCTTTGGGATGGAGGGGACCTTTAAAGGTCATCTAGTCCATCCCCCCTGCAATTGGCAGGGACATCTACAACTAGATCAGGTTGCTCAGAGGCCTGTCCAGCCTGGCCTTGAATGTTTCCAAGGATGGGGCATCCTCAACTTCTCTGGGCAACCCGTTCCAGTGTTTCACTACCCTCATTGTAAAAAATTTCGTCCTTATATCCAGTCTGAATCTACCCTCTTTTAGTTTAAAACAATTACCCTTGTCTTATCGCTACTGGCCCTGCTACAAAGTCTGTCCCCATCTTTCTTCTAAGCCCCCTTTAAGTACTGAAAGGCTGCAACAAGGTCATCCCACAGCCTTCTCTTCTCCAGGCTGAACAACCCCAGCTCTTTCAGCCTTTCCTCACAGTAGACGTGCTCCATCCCTCTCATCATTTTTGTGGTCCTTCTCTGGACTCTCTCCACAGGTCCGTGTCCTTCTTGTACTGAGGACCCCAGACAAGGCGTCTGACAATCTGACAAGGAAGTTAAGGTCTCAGAGATATTCAGTTCCTCTGGGTCTAATAAAAGTAGTGGTGTGGAGAAGAGACACTATCTCCCTACAGTGACACTGCTGAGTGCACTTGGGTCTTATTAGACACCGGGGAGTCTCTGTAGGACAGCACTTCTCCGCTGTCCCATGTGGCACCTGAAAATCCAGCCAGGAAACAAAGCACCTTAGGGAAATTGATGCTCTAGTTCCCATACTCAGGGACCAAACACATGAGAAAGATGCATCACTTGAAAAGCCGGAGAGTGACTACGACAGCGGTGGTGCACATGATGGTAAATGGGAGTTCACGAAGCATGGCAGTGAGATGCAAGTTCCCAAAACAAACCTTCTCTTGAGACAGCAGCACTGGAGTGAGGCCCTGTTATGAGGAAAATGAATCCACAAATTGGTGCTGACAAACTCTTCATTGACAGTTGTTTAGATCTGGATAATTTCTATACGGATATGTACAGGCAGAGCAGAAAGCCCACACAGGCAGGCTATTTACAGGATATGAAATATCAGATAGAGATGAATAAACCCCTTTATCATGTGCAACTTTCAACGCTGCCCTCTGCAGCAGAGGCTGTTTCCAGCTACAGTTAACCACTTTCCCTTCACATCCTGTGGGGATTTCAGTTGCCTCCATTCACTTGGCACAAGCCCAGGGACCTCAGCCATCAGCCAGCCCCCTGCTCTCCTCCTCACGCCAGCAATGCTAGGGCTGCCCCCCCTGGAGGAAGAAAGCTCAGGAGACCCTTTGATTGCCTCTTCTGTCCCTACCTGCAAGGGAACAGCAATTTCTTTAGCCCTGGGAGATTTACAGGTAGAGACCTTCTGCTAGTCTGAGGTACAGATATCTTAAATGATGCAAGAATCCTACACTTTAGCACTTTTCCCACTGTTGCTCATCTTAGTGTCCTACTATAAGCCAAACACTTGTGCACAATTAGACTTCATTTTACATTCAACTCTGATTGCTAATTAAATGGTTTGCAAATTTATACTTCTCAAATAGATTCTGTTTTTAGCTTCATAAAATTTCCAAAGCATTGCCAAAACATTAGCTTTTGTAAAGATGATATTCAGAGACGCTTACCAGCCACATGTTTTAAGGAGTGCTGGTTGCTTTGTCCTGGACTGTCCGCATAGTGCTCAAACAGTGAAAAAGCACTGGGCACCTTTTCTAAAGAGAGAGTAGTATCCATTGCAGAAAGTAACCTATTTGGAAGAAAACAGATAGCTGTAAAAATCCCTTGTGGCACCACACGGTTTCCAAAGGCCAGAAGAAAAGACCATGCAACATATGCTTCTCTAAATATTTCCCACGAACTTGACGACGACATGCAAGGAGAAGCTGTTTCCCTAATACTGAACATTTAGAGCATACTGCGATTTCAGATCAGGAGTGCAGAGAGAGTGCACACAGTCTGTATACACCTGACCTGTGAGAACATGAGGACGTGAAGTTCATAGCAAGACTCCCAAGAGCACAGGAGTTTGGGCTTACTAACGCAGTGCCTTTAATGTTTGCAAATCTTAGAGCTAAACTACAGCAGCTGACTCCAGAGATGTAAAGCAGCTGCTTGTGGCAAGCAAAAAAAAACATGAGAAGGAAGATGGATTCCACTTAATTAGCCCATATTTGCTGAGTTCATTATAGGAAAAAACCCAACATATTTTTAACTCTGAGGGAGAAGCAACTTCAAGGAAATGAAAGACATTTTTTTTCAAGGCAATTGAATTTTACCTTTTTCCTTTTCTTTTTTTCAGTCACAAAAGTAGTTAATTATGCATAATCTTAACAAAGCACAAGAAATATGAAATATAGTTTCTTTAGAAAAATATGCATTGTTATATAGACTTGTTCTTAACCTTTTTTAGCAAGTCAGGTATTATCAAAGTAATAACCACACCCATGCACAAAAAAGAATAAACTTTAAATTTAGTGTGTAAGTTAAAAAAATAAAGATCAAGTATACAGAAAGCCTTGGAAAATTGTTTCATCATGTTATACCTGCTCTGTTCTTATGCAATAAACTACATGCAGATATGTGGCCAGACTGACACATTTTGACTTAGAACGGGGGAGTCCAAATATATAGTCCTAATTCTGCAGATTAATGGGAACCACAAAGGGGTGTTTGGCACATTCTTTTCAGACCACTCTCCTGGAGTTGTAATTTGATGGCAAACTGGAACCCTCGTGTCGTTGTTATACCCCAGTCCATCAACATGTGTCAGCATGTATATCGCTGTGATGACTGAGGTAGCACTGACAAGGGTATGTTTGATATGCACCACGCAACACCCAGGCCCTTTGGGCAAAGCCAGTGGTGGTGGTGTGGGGAAAGCAGGTTTGGGAGATTGCATAGGAGAAGCCCGCAGCCAGTCTGTCTGAATATTTGTAGTTCACCTTGGAAAATTTATAGGGGGAATACAGGCTTCTAATTGAACACTTCTCTCATAAAGGATAGGTCTCACCAAAATTACTCTTCTTCCCTTGAGGAAATCACACATGGCAGAGAACTGTTTGCAATTGCATGTATTTACTGGTATGTGCAGGCGGGGCAGGATGCAGCTGTGATGAGGCAACAGCCCTCTGGTGCATCCTGAATCAGGCGGTGTTGATGAAGAGTCACGAGAAAGCATCAGCCCATAGTCTCCTGGTAAGCTTTTGAAAGCTACTTAATCTCATTTTTTCTGAAATTGTGTTCAGAAATATAGCCCAACAACCCCAGTCATGTGAGTGACACTCTGCATTATAACCTTTCAGAGACCAGATAATACAAAACCAGACTAGTGAAAAAAGAACGTACCAGTGATGTCTAAGAGATGGAAGCATGGTCAAAATGTTTTTTTAGTATATGCATGTATAATAATAACTACAAGGAATATCTGTTTAAAAATGTCTATGTAGAGATTTAAAATTAAGCTGAAATTTTAAAATGCTACTTGTTTAATTGATATATTACAGAACACATGCAAAACACTTCAAAACCAGTCAGTTACAGCAACAAGTATAAAACATCTTAATTTCATTATTTGCAAGGTTTATAAAAGTAGCTATGAATATTAGCAGTGTGTTTTCAAAGCTTGCAAATACTAAATGAAGCATCCAGCATGCTAGGCCTAGTAGTCACTACGGTGCACTTAACCCATACTTCATATACCTTTTATTCAATTCTTTAGATGACTAAAGGAAGAAAAAAAGAAATGTATTAACAGTTTTCAAAACCCTGAAAATGTTGAAGAACCACTCATCTAACAGCCTTGCTACTCTCCACACACATAAAATACACAGCTTCTATTGCCGAGTGTGACACCATACGTTATGGGATATCCCTTTGGTCAGTTGGGGTCAGCTGTCCCAGCTGTGTCCCCTCCCAACCTCTTGTGCACCCCCAGCCTGCTTGCTGGTGGGGTAGTGTGAGAAGCACTTGACACTTGACTGCTGGGTAAGCACTTCCATGAGGAAAATTAACTCTGTCCCAGCCAAAACCAGTACCTGAGCTAAGAGAACTGGCCCTTCTGTGCCTTGGTAAGCAAAGAATAAAGAAAAAAAAAAACAAAAACAAGAAGATAAAAGATTAATTTTCAGTGTAGTTTACGAGCTGGAACCTCACCAGAATATTTGCTGAGACTTATGATTAGTATATTCTTAGCAGATAGAAGAAAATGATGAATAGTGAGGGGTAAAGTTTGCACATGATGTACAGTTTCATACAAATTCGTGATCACTAATTTTAAATCTGGCTGCTGAAGTGAAGGAATATTTCATAATGCTGAATGATAAAACATAAGAGGAAATTCAGTGTTAATAAATACTTTGGTATGCAGTGGATAAGCAAAAAGGATGAACAATAACATGGACAGGACACAGATTTAGCTTAGTAATCTCAGTAAAAGAGACTGATAGTGAGAGATATGAGATATGTGGAAACTGAATACAAAATTATTATGTATCTGTCATAATGAAAGCAACAAAAAATGGGTGGCTGAAATTATCAAGAAATAAATTTAGAGCAAAGAAAATTGGTTAACTTGTGTATGATGTATAATTACACTGTGGAGCTCATGAATGCCAAATGTTGCAGACGATAGAACTGTAAACAGATTTTTGAAAGGACTAGACAAATTCAGAGAAAAGAAGTCATTGTTATCTATTTAAAAATGGGGTTAGGTATAATCTCTATTTCAAGAAGTATTTTAAACATTGATTCTCATAGCTGGCAGAGTGTATCAGTCAAAAAACTTCAGTCATTAAGTCTGTGATCTATAACTTTGTATTTGCCTTGTTTCTTAATATCTTTTTCTTTAGTTTCTCCTTCAGATTACTGTCAAGACAGTATTAACTGGTGAAGTGGTTGAGTCTCCATCTCTGGAGGTATTTAAAAGGCATGTAGATGTGGTGCTTAGGGACATGGTTTAGTGGTGGACTTGGCAGTGCTAGGTTAATGGTTGGACTTGATGACCTTAAAGGTCTTTTCCAACCTAAATGATTCTATGGTTCTGTGATTCTATGTTTCTACTAAGGCATTGCGTAGCTTGCAGCAGGGAAGAAAGCCAAATATTGCATTTCCATAACTGCTGGTATATGGGCTGGGGGCTTGTATTTGGAAAGCTGTTTTATTTTGCATGAATGATCAGTCTTTAGTCTTTAATTTGAACTTTTCATTTCTTGCATCCCAGGATAGTTTCTCTGCAACTTCCAGACTACATGCTAATTCCATAATGGTACAAGATTATTGTCCTGCTGATATACTTCTATAAAGGAGAAAGTGTCACAGCTCACTTATGGACAAGTCTTGCAGCACAAGAACAATCTTGGAGGACCCAGACTGTTAATGATTAACCTGCAAGACCTTCTGACATCAGCTTACAACTGCCGACTGTACGAGCTAGGTAACTCAAGTCATGAAGATTCACAAAGGATGTTTTTTACATCCAGAAAGGATGATTACAGACATGCACCTCACATGCACATTCCTAAATCTAGCCCATTGCCGTGGTTCAACCCTGGCCAGCAACTAAGCACTACACAGCTGTTCACTGTTTCTCAGCAATAAACATATATCACAGCCTCAGTAATTTTAGTGCATAACTACTGTCTGTATCTGCTCATTTAAAAAAAAAAAAAACAAACAACAAAACCCACCACAACTCAACAACTCTGCTTCCAGATTAGATAATTTTCAATTACACTTTCTTGTTTCACCTTTATTTCTCATACAGTAAAGTACTTTTTACTATAACATTTCTAACTCCTCAGTGGATAATTAATTCTAGATAAATTATCTAAGTGTCCCTTAGCCTTCTCTTCACAAAACAAAACAGAACTGAACCATTTTAATGGCGTAAGGCATGTTTTCATCCTATGCATCATCTTTGCAATTCTCTCTGAGGATTCACATGACAAAAGCAAATGATTTAGCAGTTTCAGAGTGGAATAGCTGAGCTTGCAGGACTTAGCTATCTTAAAAAAAAAAAAGTAAGGTAAATAACTCATTCTTGGCCTAAGTACTGTATAAGTGCTTTCCTAACTAGCATCATAAAAGCTACAGTATGCAAACCATTTTTTACTTACACTTAGGAAAACAAATCCATCGAGTTCTTCCATTTCTTTTACTGTTATCTCCAAAGTTTCTTTTGCTGAATCAACAGTTTGCTGGAAGTTAACCATCTGCTCATACAGGTACTCCATTTTCATCTTCTTCACTTCCTCAAAGTTCTCTGATTTCTCATCATATTGTGCTACCACTTTCTTAAGCATCTTTTCATTCTGCTTTTCCAATAACTCTGCATTTTTCTTATAGTTTTCCTGCAAAGTAAAAACAGATGTAAATTGATCTGCAGAATAAAATTACAACATTTAATGAATACACAGGAACTGTCAATTACACATATATGAGCCATCCCCCAGGCTCCTGGCATCCTGACAGCAAGAGAACTTTATTTCTGTAAGCAAGCTCATCTGGGAGAAATAACACTAGAGAAATACATTAAAAATAATGGCAGATTTTTTTTTCCCTTAGTGTTTAAAATTAAACTTCCATATTTAAGCATTGAGATGGGAAGTCTGACTACAAAATAGCTAAAAATCCATACTTTCAACTGAAATTAATACAGTCCTCAAGACTTAAGAACTTGGGCATTAAGAAGTTAAGACACTGGGCAACTCATTTAGATGCTTCACATACAATTCTAAATAAAGACACAAACAGTGTGAGCTTTCTATAAGCATAAACAAAATTAAGGGAACTTTTTCCTCCAGTGCTTTACAGTCACATATTCCACTTTGCAATAATGTGCAAAAAACCCAATCTTTTTATTCCCTGAAAGTTAACACCTTCCTTGCAGTGGCAGAGGTCAGTTTGAGGACTGGAGAAACAGCCCGTTTTAGTGGAAGCAATGACGCTACAAAACAAGGCGAGCATATCTTAGAAGTAATTTTGTAGAGGGAAAGAAAACTAATGCAATAAAACACTGGACTTACCTCAACAGAATTAAATAGTGATTCAATATCACTCACGAACTCTTCAATCTTCATTGACTTATCTTCCAGTGCTATTAGCAATTCATCTAAGTGATCCTGAAATTTAAAATGTTTCAGTAACATAAGCATGTTATTTTATAAAGTTTTAACACGCAACATATTTTAGGTGAATATTTTTGTTTTGGCATGAGCCACCATTGGAACAATTGCTATATTAAGTTCAAGTACCTCCCTAGCTACAAAGACATCCACAGAAATAGCAACTGGAACAGTCACAAAACTGTTTCCAAACCAAAAAAAGTGATCTCAGTTCAACAAGGTGCTGAGTGTCTATAGAAGTCGTTGAATGCTGCGAATTCCAGTGCAGCTTTGCTAGAGACTGAGGGTACTCAGAGCCTCATGAGGATCCTCAAGAGATCACAGTAACAAGCCCATAAAAACGAAGATAATGCAGGTAATTATGAGGCTAATAGATTATGCAGTATCATGATTTCTTTTATTAGAATTTAAAAGATATTTCCTATAAACCAGAATTCATCAAAATCACTGGTTGAATTAGATGTGGAAATAAAAGCAGTCCAAGGGACAACAGGCATCAGAGACGACTCAGAACTTTTTCTTAGTCCTTCTTGACCTTCCGTGAAAGCAAGCTGGCCATCTGCTCAGGTGCAATTTACAATTTATAAAAATACTTTTAGTTTTAATTAGCTGGCATAAATATAAAAGGAAGGTTATCTTCCTTTGGTAACAACTTCCTATTATGGCAAACTTCTACAGCTAGATCTGTTGAAAACTAGCATATGACCTTCCATTAATTATAAAAGTCACATTGGACTATACAATTGAAGGCTCACTTTAGAAATATTTAGGGCCAATCACCAAGATTCAGAGGCAGACTTCTGTTTGTCAAGATAGCCTATAAAATCTGACAGATGCCATCCATAGCTCATTTCATTTACTGTGAAAATATGTTCCTACAGTTAAGATTCAGGTGACAAGCATTTTGCTATCTTAATGTTTTTTCAGCAATTATACAGAAGTAACAAGGAACATACAAATGCCATCTCAGAGTAACCTGAGCCCTGAGTGCTAGAAATCATGTGAAGCCAAGCCTGTGTTGTGGCCAGATTTAATATTGGTTTCATGTCTGTGCTCCACAGCCAAGGAGTGATATCATGGGATGTTTATTTGTAGCTTAACTTGACTCACTGCAATGCAGGTACATTAGAGGGATGGTTGGGGTCTGTGACTTTATTACTGAATTACTGGTGGCTAATTATCACTTCTAAGTCAAGCATGAATGGCCATATATAAAAAGTAACTCTGCTGTCATACATCTGCACACCATGGAGATAGTTTGTAAATACTGATATTTGAAACTGCCACATTGACTCCTCCAACTTGTAATTTCTCTTTCTTGCATATGAGTTAACATAAAGATAACACAAATACCATCGATACAAGCCTTTCTGGAATTTTAATGAAATTACACAATCTGTATTACCATCAACCAAACATGTACCAGGAAAGAGACCTCACCTTTCAGATACTGGGGTGAGATTAAATAGCTGGTAACCAAGAATGGAACATCTTTATACTTGTAAAGAAAAAATATGGTATGGGAAAAGTGAGACATCAAATGCGTACTGTCTTCACAAGCAGAACTGCAATTTAATGAAGAATAGCTTCCACAGAAACGAAAGCATTTTCACTAGTATTGATAGCAAAGGACTAGGCTACTGAAATGGAGGGCATTTTAATCTGTCCTCTAGACTGGTACAGCTTAGGGATAGCGGGAAGAAGTGGGACTTGCTAAACTCTTACCTGCACTACAGCTAAAACACTATTGGCACAGACGAACATGAACTGAACAGAAAATGAGGACGGAGTTTCAACAAAACTGTGTAGTGTAAACTGTGTAACTCGTCTAACATCTCCAAGCAACCAACACACATAACTGGGACAGGGAACACTTTATGATGATATTGGTCCCCACATATGGAGGTTTCTGTACTTTGTCAAGTGAAACGAGCTGTCGTTACTAAAATTTTCTTTTCATAGAAACAACACTCTTCCCATTTCTCCCCCTACACATGCAAACCAGAACAAACTTACACAGGTGAGCAAGCTAAAAGATGGAAAGTCTGGTAACAGCTACATATAAACAAGGTCATTCAATCTTATGATCAAATGAAAATATCAGCTTAGCAAGCCTAGAGAATACCTTAATAAGATACTCTCCCTTCAAGATCTCTAACAGGTGTTTAGGAATAGTTTTTATTTTATAGATACTGTGATTTAGCCTCTGGACTGCTCTCTGAAGCCTCTCCCCTGACAACACGGGAGGTTTGAAGAAATTAGCTTCAGTAGCTCCTTCCCTCACCCAAATTAATTCTTACCTTCATCTTGGTTGCAGCATCATCTAGTGTTGTGACTTCATGGTCTTTATGTTCTCCAAAAAGCTTGTCAATAGCAGATATTGGGCATTTGCAGTGGTAACAATATGTGTCTGCTTGCGCTTTCTTCAGTTCTTTTTGTGGGCTCTCAACTTGAGGAACATTTGTTGCTGATTTTTCAGGATACATCACCACAAAACCTGAATCTTCAAGCTCAACAGATGTTCTTTGCTCTGGCTCATTAACAAATTCATAACTACCACCAACATGCTCAAAAGAGTCCCTGTCTTCAAATACTAGCTCCTCCTGTGTGAATTGAGATGATATTTCATCTTGCAAAAGTTCTTCTTGCGTAATCACATCATAGTCCATTGACTCAGCAATATCTTCATAAACATCAGGGTGTTGCTCCTCTCTTTGCAAGTCTGGCTTCTCTGTTTGCTGAATGGCAGGGGCATGGGAAAGATTTTCCTGGGTATACTGATCATCTTCGCTGTCTTCAACAGGAGTCCGGACATATGGGACATATTTTTCCATTTCAGGAATTGTTGTCATTTCATGCTGTTCTTCCTGCTTATTACTAGCTTCTTGATATGCAGCTCCCTGATAATCCACTAGTTGACTATACAGCACTTGATGACTTGATGACTCTGGCAACTCCTCAGTTGTTTCTACAGGTACATTTTCTTCTTCTCTTTGCTCAGTGGTATCACGTCTTGCACCTGAAAGAATTCCTTTGCTTCCAAAAGGAATGGCATGTGTTGGTTTACAAATTGTTGCTTGAATGTCACTGTCAACTTGGACTTTCTCTCTCTCCACAACACCCCTTTCTGGCAGAACCTCGGTTCTGACATGTTGAACATCACCAGACCCTTGCTTGTGTTTGTCCTCTGAACTCTGAACTGGGAAAGATGCATTAGAATTACCACTTTCTTCATCAGAAGGAGTCTCATCTTTTGTCTTTTCTCCTACTGCTTCTGCATAGAGGTCCTTGTATAAAAATGACAGAGCAGGTGGCTCCTCTAGAAGCTCTGGATTAACTGCAGCAACAGTGGTAGGGAACAACAGAGACCGTTCTAGCACTCCTTCTTCTGAATCAAAGAGTGGGGTCCCTGGTGACTTCTGTTCATCTTCTATATTTGTAGCCTTTTTACTGCTAATATCAATTGATTTCTGCAGAGGTAAGGGGTTTGGAGCATCTGCATAGGACTGCATTTTGCTTTCTCCTTTCACAGTACCATAAAAGACTTCATCCAGATCCTCAAGTAAGGGAAACTCCTCTTCCAAAGTATCTACCTCAGCGCTTTCTTTAAAAGATCTGGCTTCTTCCACAGGTTCATTAGGATCTTCTGTCACAGGTAACAATGAACTTGGTCTTTCAAAATGTGGCTTAAGTGGGGATTTGTCATCAATCAATGTATATTTTTCAAAATAATCCATATCAGCCATACCATTATTAGGATCCAACACTGTATTATTATTGTCTTCTGGTAACATGGGATTTTCTTGTTGTGGTTCTCCAGTTTCCTCAACATCATCATTTTTGACCAATTCTTTTAGTTGATGGCTTGCAGGCTTTCCTAACAATGAGCTTTCTGAAATTTCTGTGGTTGTTGCAGAAGCTAGGGCTCTATGATCATCATCAGCAAATTTTCTTTTAAATGAAGGATTTGTTTCCAAGTATTCTAGTTTATCTGGCATGTGTTTGCTTTCTTCTTGATCAATGGAAGAAATATGTGTAGGAGCATGAATATTGAGTATTTCATAACCTTCTGAAATGATATTAAATAGATCTTTTTGTTCAGTAGGCTCTGGAGCATGCTGACTGTCTTCTACAGTGCTTGCATGTTCCATTTCTTCCTCTTCTCCTCTCAGGTAATGCTCAGGCACTTCAGGCCCTTCGTCTACCTCCAGATGTTGCATTGCTTCCATTTTTGTAGGGTTTCCAATCCTAGTTTCACACTCTGGAACTTTTTCTGGACCTGGATTATCTCTTCCCAGAGATGGTAAATCATACCTTTGTGCTCTGTGACTAGTTTCTGAGGACACTCTGTGGGAAATTTCACTTGATACTGAATCAGAAGCTCTAAACATATCTCCTTTAGCACCATGAATTGTAAGTTCTGTGCAGCTTCCACCTGGGAATTGTTTTGATCCTAAATCAGAAGCTTCATTTGGAGAAAGTTGAATTCCTTGCCTGTCTGCTTCTGTAGCTCTGATTGGACTAATTGAGTGAGATTTAACCTCTTCCGCCAGCCAGCTAGCTAGCCCAAAAGATGGAATATCTGAATTCTGCTTTTCATCAGAACTAGAGCTAATGGACTTCACCTCCACTGAAGAAAGGCTGCCCCGTTCACCAGAATAATGCTGAGTTTTGTCCGTCACAGTTTCATAAACAAGATCTGATGAAACAGCTCCCATATGCTCTAAGGGTGTTTGCTTTTGGTCTGCAAAATATGGTTGCATTTCACATCTATCCTCTCCTTCAGTATAAATGTCTGAAACTATGCTAGGTTGCTTTCCAAGAATGCCTACTACATCGGGTAAAGATGACGGAATATTTTGTTTCTCCTCATCATCAGTGAAAACCACTGATACTGACTTTTCAGGTGATGTATGAAAACGTACAAATGAATCTGATGACAGTGCTTGCTGGTCTGCTACAGCAGTCACCTTTGACTCTGTGGTCACTGACCTTGGCACTGCCTGCACATCAGGTTGTATTTCTTGCTTATCCTGCTCAGTAGTGAATTTGGGGGGACTTCTTAGCTGCTCTGATGACGAATATTTTGTGTCCAACAAATGATCTTGAGATTCTTTCTTGTCTTGGTCTTGTGTGTGCGTCAGAGACATACTGTCCAACTGCACTGTCTTGAAGCTTGCTAATTTAGGTGAATAGAGCTGAATTTTTTGCAATTCTTTTTCATCATGTGGTGGAATCACATGTTTACACTCTGATTGTGCAGACTGGGGAATAAGTGGCTGCATGCTTTGCTCTTCTTGTTCAGCAAGGGACCATGTGGGAACCAAGTACTCAGAGGCTGGTTTTGAATAAGGTGGAATTTCTTGCTGACATGTTTCATCAGCTGAATAAAATGGAGCTGAAGGTTCAGACTCCAGTTTTGAAGACACAGTTAAATAATCTTGACTTTCTAGAGCTTCTGCTTTATCGGTAGAATATGATAAATTTAATCGTTCAGATTCTAATTGCATAGCTGTGTGGAAGTAATGTGGAGTCTGTTCTCTCTCTGTTTCAGGTAGAATTACATGTTCAGCCTCTGACTGTGCAGCCATAGGCAAAGGTAGATGAATTTTTGTATTCTCTGCTTCTTTTCTCGCAAAGAAGAAACCTGATGCAGGCTGAACAGTTTCTGTCTGCTCTGTTTTACAGTGGGTATAAGATAAATCTAAGTGCTTGGGGGATAGGCCTCCAGTTACATGTGAAGACTTTGGACTTCCTTCTGGTTTTGTTTCGGAGACAGAAAATGAAACACCCAAAGGTACAAACACTGTTTGTTCAGTAAGAGATGAATATGGTTGGTTCTCTGCTTCCTCAGTGGAAAAGGATAAATCTTGTTTAGTTTCCAACTGAGCAGTTAGAGATGAAGTAACCCCAGTGTCTCGCTCCTCTGAACGCCCTGCTCTCAGCAGGGCTGTTTCATGCTTTTCTGTTTTGTCTGTAAGTCTTAATAAATCTGATTGTTCAAAGTCTGGTTGCGCAGTTCCCTGCTCCTCAGTCCTGCCAAAGGTATATGATACAGAAGGTGTTTCTGGTTGTTCTGTTTCAACAACGGAGTACTGCAAATTAATGCACTGCAGTTCAGGTTGGGCCCCATCCCTTCGCTCCATTTCCCCCATGAAATGTGATGTCTCTGGATGCTCCAACTGGGCAGTCTGTGGTTGCTCTGCTTTGCCATAGGAGTACGATAAATCTGGTGGTTTCATTCCATGAGTCTCTGCTTTGCCAAGAGAGTATGACAAATCTGGATGTTTTGATTTTAATTGTTCCATTTGCAACTGCTCTGCTTTGCCTGTGGAATATGAAAAATCAGAAGGCACGAACCCTGCTTGTGGAGTTTCCTGTTTTTCTGTTTTGCCAGGTGAATGTGATAAACCTGGCTGCACAAAGTCTAACGGTGAAGCTGGTTTCTGCTTTTCTTCACCAAGGGAGTGCAAAAAGACAGGCTGTGCCATTCCCTTTTCCTCTAGTTTGCCAAAGGACTCCAAAAGCTCTGGCTGTTGCAGTACTTTTTGGGCAGGTTGAGAGTGCTCTGATTTGCCAGCTGGATAGGATAAATCCATTTCTTCCACCTCTGGTTGTTCAATTTCATGGTGCTCGTGTCGACCAACAGAATACGACAAATCTGGATAGTTTGATTTCTGATGCGTAGCTTCCTCTTCTGTTTCTCTAACAGCATAAGATAGCTGTGGATGTCGCAACTCTGGCAATACCGTTTCTTGTTCTCTTTTGTCAGAAGAATACAACAAACCTGTATGCTCCAGCTCACCTTGCACAGTTTGTATTTCATCTGTTTTACCAAGGGCATATGTTAAATCTTGTTGCCCTAAGTCCATTTGTGTTGCTTCTTGTGAGAGCGTTTTGCAAATGGAATGTGATAAATTGGGAAGTTCCCGCTCCGGATGTGACATTCCTTGTTGCTCTGTTTTTCCAGTGGGATGGGGTGTTACAGGATGCTCTGATTTCCATTGTGTAGCCAGTGGCTGCTCTACTTTGTCACTGGAATATGACAAATCTGGATGCTCACCCTCTGGTTGTGCTGTTCCTCGCCGTTCTGTTTTGCCAGTGAAATGCAGCGAGTCCTGATGTTCCGCTTCCACTTGAACAGTTTGTGGTTGCTCTGTCTTCCCATGGCAAGATGGTAAATCTGTTTTTCTTAACCCAAGTTGTGTCATTTCTTGTTGCTGTGTTTTATCAGTGGAATAGGATAAATCTGAATGCTCCAACTCTTGTTTTGCCATTTCTTGTTGCTCTTTTTTGCCAGAGGAATAGAAGCAGCCCCGGAATTCCCCTTCCAGTGGGGCCCTATTTGGTTGCTGTGCTGTGCCACAAGAACTTGACAACGTTGGCTCTTTCAATTTCAGTCGTACTGTTTCCTCTGGGTGTAATGTATAGGTTCCCCTCTCCTGTTTGATCTCTGGCTGTGCACTTTGTTTCTCTTCACCAACAGAAGAGGACAAATCAGGATGTGGTACTTTGCCCATGGCATCTGAGACATCTGGATGTTTGGACTCCAGTGGGGCAGCCCATGATGGCTTTGTTGCAACAACAGAATGCAACAAATCGTGTTCTTTCAGCTCTGGCTGTCTTGTTTTATGAGGTTCTGCTGTGCCAACAGAGAATGATAAATCTGCGTATTCTGATTTTGCTTGGGCATTTTGCAGTCCGTCTGTTTTCCCCATAGAGCACTGCAGCTCAGGGTGTTCTGCCTGCATCCCTGCACCTTCCCATTGCTCTTCTTTGCTGAGAGATGATGAAAAATCACCTGGCTGATCCTGCTTTGGTTGAATCTTTTCTTGTTTCTGTACTGTGCCAGTGGAATGCAATAAATCCGGATACTCCAAATCCACTTCAGCCATTTGAGGTTGCTGTGTTTCACCAATTGAGCATGATAAATCCATTAGTTCTGCCTCTGGTTGTATGATTTCATGGTGCTCTAATCTGCCAGCACATAAATCTGAAGAATGGTTTGTTTTCACATGTGCAGTTTCTTGTTCTGCCTCACTAACAGAATACGATAACTGTGAATGTCCCAATTCTGGCTGTGCTGTCTCTCCTTGTGAAGCTTTTCTGAAGGAACAAAGGAAGCCTGGCTGCTCCTCTTGAGCAGTTTGTGCTCGCTGTGTTTTGCCAGGCCAAGATGATAGATCTGGCCTTCCTAACCCCAGTTGTGTAGTTTCTTGTGTCTGCATTTTATCAATGGAATATGATAAGTCAGGATGCTTTGGCTCTGGTTTTGCCATTTCTCTTTGCTCCACTTTTCCACTATGAGATGATGCATCTGGAGCTCCGAGTTTCTCTTCTACAGCTTGTGGATGCTCTGCTCCGCTGACACGCTGTCCCTCATCAGGGTGTCCCAAGGCTGTGTGCTTCATCCCTCGCTGCCCCACTTTGTTGGTAGGGGATGCCAAGTCTGTGTGGCCCAGCCGGAGCTGGGCAGGTAGGAGTTGCTCTGTTTTGTCACAAATATACAACACATCTGGCTGTTTCAACCCCAGCTGGGTCATTTCTTGCGCTTTGTCGAGGGAGCATACTAGACCAGGTTGTTGGGGTTTCAGCTGTGCAGTCTGCAGTCCTCCTGCTTTGAAAATGGAATAAGGCAAGTCAGGATGTCCCTGCCCTGGTTCTGCCATTTCTTCTTCTTCTGCCATACCTGCATAATGGGCCAAATGTGGTATTTCCACTTCTGGCTGAACTGGTTTATGTTCTGCTTTTCCAAAGGGGTAAGTCAATCCTGTTTGCTCCGATTCTTGTCGTACTCTTCGTCGCACCTCTGTGTTGTCCAGAGGATGTATCACATCAGCATGTCCTGCTTCTGGTGGGGCCATTTCATCACCCGGCCTGTCAATGGAAAATGATAAATCTGGTTGTTCCAAGTCCTCCTGGGCATGTTTTAATTGCTCTGTTTTACCAGGAGAATGTGATAACTTTTCTTGCTCTAACCGCTGTTTTGTGGTTTGCTGCTGCTTCTCGCTGCCAGCAGAAATTTTGCTGTTTTTCTGATCCAACACTACTACTTCCTGTTGGTTTGTCTCATCAGTGCAATGTGGCAAATCAGGATGCTTCATTTTCCATGGTGCAATTTCCAGCTCATTTCCTTTGCCAAGGGAATATGTCAAATCTGGATGTTTTGACTGTATTTGTGCACTTGCTGGAGAAGCTCTTTTTCTGGCCATTTTAGGCAATTCTTGGTATTTAGATTCAAACTCTTGAGTTGCTTGTTCTTTGGCTTTACTAAAGGAAAATGATAAATCTGGATATTTTGAATCCAATTCTGAAGTTTCTTGCTGGTTTTTTTGGCTATCAGAACATGTCAAATTTGAATATTTAGATTCCACTTCCATACTTTCATCTTGTGCTGCTTTACCCAGGGTTCCTGGTGGATCCAAATGTTCTGTTTGTCCTTGTCTTTCTCCTATGGAGTCTGAGAGCTCTGGATGTCCTGACTCCTGCTCTACGGTGTCACCTGGTTTTGCTTCACCACTGTTGCATGAAAAACCTGGCTGTTCCATCACCAGTGGTGCAGTTTCTTGTTGCTTCAAATGAAATGGTAAAGTTGGATGTTTCAACTTTTTTTGTTGTTCAGCTTCATGAAAGGAATATGACAAATCTGGATATTCTGAACTCACTTCCACTTCCAGCGGAGCTTCTGTTCCACTGGAAGATTGCAAAAACATTTGCTTCAGCTCTGGATGTACTATTTCTTTTTGCTCTGTTTTGCCAGTAAAACTTGAAAAAAATGGTTGCTCTGATTTGTGTTGTGTCATTTCCTCCTGCATTTCTGTACTTACATAGAATGTCTGTTCTGGATATGCTGGCTCTGTTTGCATTTCTTCTTGCATTTGTTCACTGAGAGAATATGGCAAAGACAGATGCTCTAACTCTGTTTGACCTGTTTCTTGCTCTGCCAGATTAATTTGGTCTATGACCTGTGGCTCTTCTTTTCCCAAGGTTTCTGACAAATCTGAATACTCCATTTCCATTTGCATAGCTTTTTGTTGGGATGTTTCCTGCTGTTCTAGTTCTCTCTGTACTATATCTTGTTGTTCCATTCTGCCAAAGGAATACGATACACCTGGCTGGGCCACATCCAGTAGTGTGGTTTCCTGTTCCTGACTACCAGCAGTGGAACAGGAGGGAAGTGACTGCTCCTGCTTCAATTGGGCCATTTCCCAGGTCTTTTCTCTGTCAGTCAAATGTGAGGAGCCCAAAGATCCGGACTCCACTCCTTGCATTACTTCTCCAGTGGTAAATGAGAAATCTCTATTTTCTGAAGCTAGTTGTACATTTTCATGTTGCTCTGTTTCACTAATGAAACATGATGGCTCTGGACCTTCTAAGTCTTTTTGTACAGCTTCTTGTGTTGTTTCTCCATGGGAATATGGCAAATCTACTTGCTCCAACTTCAGTTGCAATATTTCCTGTTGTTCTGTTTTGCCAGTGGAATATATAATCTCTGGCTGTTCTGTCCTCATCTGTGAGGTTTTATGTTGCTGTTCTTTTCCAGCAGAATATGACAAAACTGGATGCTCTGACTGCAGTTGAGTAGTTTCTCCTTGCACTCCCTTGGCACGAGAATAAAGCTTACCTCCAGGTTGTGAATCCTGCTGTACAGGCTGTGGCTGTTCTCCTTTGTCACCAAAATAGGACATAAGAGATTTGTCCACATCTACTTGTGCCAATTCTTGCTGCTTTGTTTTATTCATGGGATATGGTAAATCTGAATGTGCTGCTTCCAGATACCCAGTTTGCTGCATCTCAGTTCTTCTGGTGCAATCAGACATATCTGGATGTACCAACTGGAGTTCTGTAGTGTTTTCCGTCTCTGCTTCTTCCAGCAAACATGAGAAATCTGAAGGTACCAGTGCAAGATGTGCTGTTTCTTCTTGCTCTGCTTCTTCAGGGGAGTAAGACTCTGGCTGTTCCAGTTCAAAAGGAAAAGATTTTTGTTTTTCTGTTTCTTTTGTGGAAAATAAAAACTCCCTATGTTCCATTTCCAGCTGTGCACTTTCTGATTCCTCTGTTTCTTCCCTCGAAAAAGAAAAGTCTGGATGCTGCATCTCCAGCTGTGCGTTGTCCGATTCCACCATTTCTTCTCTGGAGTATGAGAAATCTGGGTGCTCTCTCTCCAGCTGGGCACTCTTTGATTCCTCTGTTTCTTCCCTCGAAAAAGAAAAGTCTGGATGCTGCATCTCCAGCTGTGCGTTGTCCGATTCCACCATTTCTTCTCTGGAGTATGAGAAATCTGGGTGCTCTCTCTCCAGCTGTGCGTTGTCCGATTCCACCATTTCTTCTCTGGAGTATGAGAAATCTGGGTGCTCTCTCTCCAGCTGGGCACTCTTTGATTCCTCTGTTTCTTCCCTCGAAAAAGAAAAGTCTGGATGCTGCATCTCCAGCTGTGCACCATCCGATTCCACCATTTCTTCTCTGGAGTATGAGAAATCTGGGTGCTCTCTCTCCAGCTGGGCACTCTTTGATTTCTCTGTTTCTTCCCTCGACAAATAAAAGTCTGGGTGCTGCATCTCCAGCTGTGCACTCTCAAATTCTTCTGTTTCTTCTCTGGAATATGAAAAATCTGGATGTTCTGTCTGCAGTTGGGCACTCTCCAATTCTTCCATTTCTTCCCTGGAAAAAAGCAATTCTGGATATTCTGTCTCCAGTTTTGCACTCTTCGATTCCTCCATTTCTTCCCTGGAAAAAGAGAAGTCTGGATGCTCCATCTCCAGCTGTGCATGCTCCAATTCCTGTGTGTCTTCCTTGGAAAAAGAGAAGTCCAGTTGCTCTGTCTCCGTCTGTGTTCCATCTGATTCCCCAATTTCTTTGTTGGAATATGACAAATCTGGATGGTCCATCTCCCTTTGTGCATATTCTACTTGTTTCTTTTTTTCAACAGAAAAATCAGGGTGATCCAAATCGACTCCTTTATTTACAGCTGAAGTTTTCTGAGTTTCTTGTGTTTCTGTGTGAACAGGATATGAAATGCCAAAATATTTAGAATCTCTCTTTTCAGGAATAGGTAAATTTAGTTTAACTCCTTGCTCCTTGGATTCTGCATGCTTCTTTAAGTGAATATTTTGGGTTTCTGGTGGTGGGGTCTTTTGACTCTCTTTTTTTTTAGCAGAGTACAATAGACCTGAATGCTCAGTTTCTGACCATGCAGTTGTTGATGAATGACACTCAATTTCTTGCTTCTCTGTTTCATCTACAGAATGTGGTAATAGTACATGTTCAGACTCAGATTGTGCAGTTTCTGATGACTGAGGAATAATATCCTCCTGTCTTGTTTCAGATAGAGTGGAATATTTGGATTTAGCTGAGGGAGCACTAGGTAAGTAAGACTGAACTGCTGACTTCTGTACTTCCCTCTCAGGATGTTCTGACACAGATGCTGTAGGTAAAATAGGTTGGGTACTTTCTCTACCTACTTCATTAACAAAATCTGCTGAAACAGACTGTGGGGCAGAATTGGGCTGAATTTCCTGCTCTGTCAGTTCATCCAGAAGATCTGATGCTGTCAGCAGGGTTTGGTCTGGTTTCTTGTTTGCAGTTTCAGCTGAAGGAAGCAGCACTTGTTTCTCTGGTTTAGCATCAGACTGTAATGAAATGGAGGTTGATTGCTCTGTTATTGATGTTTTGGCTGCAGGTGAATAACTTTGCTGCTTCTTGGCTTCTTCAGGAGGGCAGGACTTCAGTGACTGTCCTGATACCTGATTTGGAATCTCTGAAAGAGATTGTCTCTCTTTTCGTTCTTCATGTTGAAGAGCTGTTTCTGCACCAAAGCTTGAAAATCTGCTTGTCTTATCTTTCATTTTAATGGGTTTAATATTTTCAGATGAAATATCATCTTTATTAGCAAGCTGTTTTTCAAGAGGTGTTGTTGGTGAAGAACAGCTTTGATTTGCATGTGCTGTGGGTTGCTGTCTTTGCTCCCTTCTTCTCTCTGGTGGTGTTTCAAGTTTTCTACTTCTTGTTCTCTGGCAAGATTTTTGATGTTTTGCTTCTAAAAGTGAACTGAACTTCTGCAGTCTTTCTTTTACTGATGTTTCAAGGAACTGTTCAGAATCTCCCGAGACTGAGTTACTTCTCTGGATTCTGGTTTTCTCCAGTGTTTCAGGGGCTGGCTCAGTCCCTCCAAAAATTGAGTTGAACAGCTGGATTCTAGCTTGTACTGGTCCTCCAAGGATCGGCCCTACTTTTCTCAGTCTGTTTTCTCTAAATATTGATCTTATCGGAGCACGTTTTACTGGCTCTTCTGTGATGTTCTCTAGATCTTCTTTGTCGTCCAACATTTCCTCATCTGTGTCTTGTCCTTCCACCTGTTCAACATTCAACACAGAGCCCTGCAGATCTCCTAGAACAGTTCTTGGTTCTTGCCTCTGCATTCCAGAAGAGTCACGTTTCTTATTGCCCTGGCCTCCCTTCAGGTTTGTAGCCATTGGCAGCCTATTTGAAGATTTACGCTTCCTTTTCCGAATAATCTTACCTTCATCCATAATAAAGATAACTTTTCCTGGAGGAGAACCTACTGGTGAACTTTCCATACTGTAAAGATCAGATGTTGTACTAGTTTCTGAGGCCCAGGGAGTAGAAGATCTACTCGAGCTAGTTTCCCAGGTTATCCCACTGTCTTCACTTTGAACTGTTACCATAGAAAAGGAAGGGTTAGTCATGATGTACTGCAGCTTGGGTTTCACATCTTCACTTTGGATAAGATCTTTTAAACTAAAAAAAGAAAGAACAAAGGGGAAAAAAAGCCATAAAATCACACAACAAATTAAATTATTGCAAATCTAAATTTTTGCATTAAAGCAAAAATACTTCTCCAAGTTGTAAAAATACTGCATGTGCATAAATTTTGAGAGAGAAGCATAAGCAAAGTTATATTTCATCTGACAAATGTATTTTAGATAAATTTTTGTAAAGCTGCATGTTGCAAGGTTAGTTCAATGAAGGGGAGGTGTTTACATACTCTTGACAATGCAGGAAAAACAGTCTTTGATCTGACCTTGCTTTGCCAGTGTGAGATTTAGCTGATTCTGGGGCTATTCTCCAATGCCTGGTTATCTCATGGTATAATTTAAACCTTGCATTAAACACTTATAAGATACTGTCTGTGTTTTAATAGCACCCACGCTTGCTTTGCCTGAGTGTAAATGATTATACAGTGCTCAAAGGAGTAGAGAATCTATTTGCTAGTTTGTTACCATCTTCATGTTTCACCCTCTAAGCACTCTACATATTTAACACAGTAATTTAGAATACATTCAACAATAAAAATATACTGTCAAATAAAATAACAATGTTTTATAAAGGTAACTTTAAACCTTATGATATGCTATCAGTACATTATCATATGCTGCAATTAAATCTCTCTCAGTTAAAAAAAAAAGGCCAGAGAAATGTTTTCTAGGAAGCTTTAGGAAAAAAAACAGTCTTAGAAATAAGAGTGTAAAGAATAGCAAAAGCAATTAAAGACTTAATATTATTTTTATAAAAAAAGTATTTTTAGGGTTATAATAGTTATTTCAAAAAAAGCATAGAAAAGATAATCATAACACTCAACCCTAATATTTCTTGAGTAGACAGTAGTTCATTTAGGGAAATTGTGTTAGTAGCTGATGGAGAGAAAGGCAGAGTATCTGCTGGCAAAGGCAGAGGCTTCAGTAAAGCAGAAGAACTGGTGAAGTCTCTGTCACTCCCATGGAAGGATGCAAACCTATGGCCACACAAGGTCCTACTTCCACTGAGCAGAGGGAAGGGTCACTTTCCAGGTGATTAAGATAAAGCAATTCTTCAGGAAGAGTGAAGAAATCTGGCTCCTGACCATGTGATGGGAGAAACAGAACCCATCTGACCGACTGCCACAGGCTGTGACTCAGCACTGCGTGGGTGCCAGAGAAGCCTGGAGGCTTCAGAGGTGGGGGGACACCCCTGAGAAGCAGTCAGCATCGCTGCGGGGCATGCCGAGTGCCTGACAGAAGGCAGAGGTCTTTGAAGGAGGAGAAGAGGAAATCCTGAGGAGGGCCATAATCGCTCCATCAAGCAAATTCTCCAAACTGTAAGGTTTCTATAAAGGGCCCTCAGCAAAACTGCTCAGTACCTATCAGAAACAAAAAGGTAATCCTGATACTAACAGTGCTGACCTTGTCTTTCCATGAATTCGCTCTCCAGAGCACAGACAAGAAGGGCTGCCCTGGGCTGGCCCATGCTGAGGTCCATGCAGACTGATGCACAGACCATCTCATCTCTGGTGTCCTTGGTGCTAACTGAAGACCGAAGTCACCCTGTGGGACCATGATCTGACCAGGAGGCGGTGGAACAGCACAGTATCAAAGTCCAGTGATGGCACTTAAAGCCAGTTGTAGTGACTGGGCTGGCCTGGGGACTGTGACTAACAGGACAGCTTGGACTGGAGCCCACAAGTCAAAGTGAGTCTGACAGTGCAGTACAAAATAATCACATCTTAGCCAAAAAAAGCCCCCAAACCAGCCCTCAAACAAATACAAACCCTCAGCATGTACAGCTGATTATCTGCCTTGGTGTAGTACTCTCTAGCAAGGCTAGCTCCATAAGGTAAGGTTTACAGTTTCGAGGAAAAGGCAAAGCAAATAAATCTATACCAACTTTGCTGCTAGCTTTTCCTTTGCCAGTTTCATTGCTTGGCATTAGGTTGACTTGAGCATAGCAAAATAAAATAAAATAAAATAGTAAAATAAAATAAAATAAAATAAAATAAAATAAAATAAAATAAAATAAAATAAAATAAAATAAAATAAAATAAAATAAAATAAAA